ACTCATTCATTTAATTTCCATATTACTTTTATTTAAATCTTATGTGACTTTATTAAAAGCCAAGATTAACAGTCACATTCAAGGCCATAGGTACAGAAGGTTAAATAAAAATTTTGATCTTACAACCTATAAAGTTATTTACATTATATACAGAAGGCCCAATTTTGCTCTGCCATTTAGAACTCTGAAAGCTGGCCAGAAGTCCAAATTCTCTGTGTGGGTCAAAAGGTTCTAAGCTAAGCAGCTTCCATGAGCATGGAGAACAGGCTAGGCTGGCCTAGGGCTCCCAACATGAGTAGTCTGTGGGATGGACATCTAACATACTCTGCTTTCCAAGTCTACCTCCCCAACACCCACACAAGTGCTGGGTCTGGGGCACCCCAAAACCTTAGAAACCAATTTAGCACCAACCCTTTATGGGCACAATTGCTGCCCATACTGGTGGTAAGCCTTGGGCCTGTGACACTGAGCGGGATGCTCAAGTGCATTGTACTCATAAATGGGACAGACCATCAGGTGAATAACTGAGTCACAGCCCTTCGGTGTGGAGCTGGTGGGCCAGCCTTGCAGTGAGGCCAGCTAAGTCAGCAGCTTTGTCCAGCTTGATGTAGGTATCAGTACGAATGTGATGCAGGCTGAGCCAGTCTGGTAGCAACTCAGATAGGAGCAACACGTGCTTCTCCATCTCCCCTGTGGAAGTGCAGCGTGGGTTTAAGCACAGTGCCTGGATGACTTGCTTAGCTCACTTACCCAGCCTGGTGCCTTACATCCCTCAAGGCTTAACCTGTGTGCAGTGGACCCAAGCAAAGGCCTGGGCACTGCTCTCAAACACCAGAGGAATGAGCAGCAAGGGCAAGACACTGCAAGACACACATACTCCAAGCCTGGTGAGCAGGCCTGACAGCAGAGATGAGGCCCTAAGTGGCAGAATTGGGATTCCTACAAGTCCATGGCAAGCAAACTGTCCCTGGTCAGAAATAGACCCAGCTCCTTGCCAAGGACACATTGAGCATGACCATGTCCACCCTCACCACTATCCTTTTTTTTTTAATCTATTATATGTGTGCAGTGTTCTGCCTCCATGAATGCTATACACCTGCAGACCACAAGAGGGCACCAGATCTCATTACAGATGGCTGTGAGCCACCATGTGATTGCTGAGAATTGAACTCAGGACCTCTGCCAGTGCTCTTAACCTCTGAAGCCACCTCTCCAGCCCCCCTCACCATTTTCTTGCTTTGTACAAACCTGGGCTCAGGGCAGCTCGGCTACTGTCCACCATCCTTGCACAGACCACCTCCATAGTGAGTGCTGGCTTGCGCTCAGACACAAAGACACCACGCAACACACGGGCCAGTTCTGGCAAGCGCTCTAACCGCTGCAGCCGAAGCTCCTGTTCTGGACACCGTGTCATCTGTGCCAGCTGCTTTTGGACTTCCTTGGCCCTTATCTGTATGGAGTGGGTCAACAGCAAATGGTTACCAAGGCCCCCTCTTGTTACCAAGGCCCTCTACCCATTAACCAGGACTTACCCGCTCCAGCAAGGCTTGGGATACACCCTTCAGGGCACTGGGAGAGGCAGCTGGTGGGGTGGCTGGTGGGGTGGCTGGGAGTGCTGGACTAGAGGACCCAGAGCTACTAGACTCAGCTGAGCGCAGGACCAGGTTACTCAAGGCCTTCTCCATCTGCAGTGTAGGGGAGATGTCTCAAATGGTAACTAACTGCCCAACCCTGTGAGGGGAAGCCCTTTGCCCTGCATGGGTCCCACCCAGAAATCCCTCTCTTTCCAGGCCAAGTCCCCTAGTCTGGGAGGCCCAGCAGATAAACACAGCCAGCTGAGCTGGTACAGTGAGTTGTGAGTGAGAAGGTTTAGGGCACATCTTACTTCTGTGTCCTTAGCTGATAAAGTCATCAGATAAACCACCCAGAGGCACTCAGCTGTTACCTCCACCCACTGGGGTCAGGCTGCCCATACTCCCTAAGAAAGGGATGAAATTAAATTAAATGAAATGAAATTAAAGGCTACAAAGCCTCACCTTGGGTGACATGAAGCTGCGGGCTCGGGCCAACACCTCCTGGGCAGTGGTGAGCTTCTCCGTGACAGGGGGCTGGGGCAATTCAGCTGGTTCAATATCAGGCACCTCGTCCACATTGAAGCGTGGGTGCCAGCGTGTCAGCTGGTCTTCAGGCACGGTCATGGGGGGGTTCAAAGAAGCAAGGAAAGCCTGGAGGAAAGGAGTGTTGGACTACTCAATTCATTTCCAGCTGGAAAACCCTGGGCAAACTTAGCCTTTCTGTGCCTGGGTACACAGCTAGGTATACAGAGGCATGTTCCTAGCATATAGGCATTGTTGACAATGACATGAGAGCCTCCTCAGGGTCTCAAGGTAATCCTGAGGTTCCCAGCTTTTGGGGTCCAGGCAGCTCTGCCCCAGCTCCAGCCTGTAGTGTATAAGGTATCAGTAGTGGAATTGACCCTCCTCGAATTTTAAGATATCCATAGCAAGGGATTAATTAAAAGAACCTTTGTATTTGCAGTCAGTACAGTCACTCAAAGGGGAGAAGGCACTTAAGGTCTTACAGCAGGAATTGAACTGCTCAATGGCCTCCACAAACTCCAGCACTCACCTTGTGATGCTCCTTGACTCGATCCACCAGGTTCTGTCGGAAAACCTGCCTACGCTGCAAGAGGCACGTGGCTGTGAGCTGGGTGGCACCACCAGCCTCTGAAAGAGGAAAGCAAGGTGAGCCTGGGCCTGTCTAGCTGCTCACCTTACGCTCCCCCGCAAGTCCAAGGTGAGTGAGCACACCCACAGCCTCGCCAGACTCACCCTGGCCCAGCAAGGGTTCTATGGTGAGTTGGTAATCAGATCTCCTGATGCTGTCCTTGAAAGTGGGGACATTGCATTCCTGGCGGAAGCAATACGATGTGGGGTACACGGTTTTGATCTGGCCCACATTGCGCTCTTCAAAGCGTCTACAGAAGAAAGAGGGCTAGGTCAGAAGGAACACGCAGGCTGGCATGAGACTTCAAGGGCCACTAAACCCACTCTCCCACAACACTCACTTGCGCATCATGTCCTGGACACCTTGTTTGACTTTAGCAAAGGTCACAGTCTCAGATCGATTGTGAAGCATGCTCACGATGGTGTCCATGCTACGGAACATCTCGGCCAGCACTTGATACTTGTAGGGCAGGACAAGGCCAGGGGGACCCGGCTGGGCCAGGGCATGGAAGCGCTGGTAGGCAGGGACTTTCTCGACACTGTCAACGGGAAGCAGTCTCATTAGACCATCAAGCCACACAATGTGACCACCACCAGGTAGAGGAGCCCTTCACAAGCAGAGCCTTGTCCTTGCAGATCTACTGCTTCCTGGGAGGACCACCAGAAAGGAACACAAAGCCGCCCGCTCCATATACCAGCTCTGCCTCACCTGCCTGCTCAGCACCCTCAGCTCAGAGAGACACAGACAGGCCCAGCATCCGCAGCTACCCATAGTACCAAGAACAAGCCAAAGGCAGAAGCCACCGTGTCCTTTCCAGTTGGGGGCCAAGGGCACAGTGCTGGTGAAGAGTAGACTAGTGGATATATGTCTAGGCAATCTGGCTCCCAGCCCCATGGTCACACTAATTGTCTCCCGGAAGTCATGGCCACCTATCCACTCAGGCCCTACAGTGCCTCCCAACAGCCTGTCCTTCCCTGGACCTTGTGGTCCACTAGGACTCACCATGGCTGCTCTGTGGGCACTGTGGCATCTGAGGTACAAGACTCCACAGCATTCTCCTGGACTCTGACCTTCAGGGCCCGAGCCTGGGCTCCCAACTCACGTGCTCGCCTCAGGCAGGACTGGAGCTCCGAGATAGAGTCCTTTGAGGGGACCTAGGGACACAGATGCTGTTAGTTCTACCAGTTATTCATGACCCGGCCCACAGCCCACCCTCGGTCCAGCCTCCTTACCTTGTGCCGCTGCTGAGCTGTGGCAGGAAGGACTGGACCTTCTGAAACAGTGGTGCTCTTTATTTTCTTGACAGGGGATGGGCTTACTGGGGAGCCAGGGTCAGCTGGAGAGCTGGGATCAGCTGGGGAACTGGAGCAGGAGTCCTGGTAATGAAGAAGCCACAGATTAACACACTGGGGTGGAGAGGGGGGGTACCCGCTCTGCAGGAAGAGCACTGGCCTGCAGAGCCAGAACCAGGCTGTCAGTTCACTAGACCCTAGGCTCCAGGGGGTGTCTGCCGATGCCACAGTTAAGATCCACCTGGTCTGTTGGGCCTCCTCCTCCTTGAAGCAGCTCCCAGGCCTGACTCTCTTATGTTTTCGCTCCATTTCAGGTGCTCCAGCACAATTTTTTGCGGAACAGCCACCCCCAACCCTTGCCTGCTGCATCCTCCCAGCAAACCCTGGTCCCCTCTGTAGGACCGCTGCTGGTTCCCCTGGGGAGAGAGACAGCAGTACCCAGCCTGCCCCAGACTCTACTCTCCCTCAGTCTTTGCGCCCAGTTCCCTGCCTCAGCGCCCGATGGCCAGGGATTCCTCTCCTAACCAGGGGTCCTCTGGGGTCTCAAGTGCGTCTCACCAGTCCAGGAAGTCGCAGCCTCCGGCGAGCGGGCGGCGCGGGCTGGTCGCTCCTGGGTTCGGTGGAGGGACGGGCGCGCTTGCGGCTGCTGCTCCGGGTGAACTGAGGGGTCACAAGCCCACTGGGGCTCGGGGTGAGACAGGCCGACTTAGCCCGTGGAGCAGCAAGGCCCGGACGACGGCGCGCATAGAAATCGGTAACACGACTTTGCGCCATGGCGCCAAAAAGCTAGTTCCCGCGGATTTCGCGCGATTTTCGCGGTTTCAGCCTTGCCCCGCCCAGGCTGTACCATCACGTGCAGCTCTTGGAGGGGGAAATGTGCATACTCCAGAGCATGCGCGCCAGTATGCACCAAGATGCGCATGCGTCACGCCGGGCCACCTCCCTGCCGCTTTCGGTTTGAGTGACCGCGAATGGGAGCGGCCAGGGGTGGGTGGACAGGGATGGGTTGGACTCCTGACCACTGGCGCGCTGACGTGTGGCATAGCACGTGCGCTGTCCGTCATTTACGCGCACTAGCTAGGCTGTGTGGCGCGTACCGGTCTCAAATCCACGTCGAGCGCCGCACGAAGTGGAGCGGCTACTAGCCAATGGCTCCTGGCCCGGCAAAGAGGCAATCGGATGAAAGACGCTTTTGCTCTTGTTCACATTTGCAGAATAATCGCCTGGTCTCGCACGCCAGCAAAGTAGCTGGATCTGAGTCACAAGCACCTGCTGAATATCTGGTCCCATACGCTCAACGCAGCCGAACGGGCTCCAAAAGCATCTCGAGGCTTTTTTGCTACATCCGGGCTATGGAGTGCAGAGGTCGGTTCTGGGAGGGGCTCCAGGGCAGGAAGCGGCCTAGAGGCTGGGAAATCAGGAAGGCCACGCAGAAGGACTGATATCACCCGATATCCTCAGTCACTGCCACCCAACGCTCCAAACACTCCTGGGGGGAATGGCCATGTACATAGTACTATCATTTTGGGCAAAGGTGACGCCCAAGGAGGAGGGAGGACATAAGGGGAGGAGGACACAACGCGGAAGCAGGACCTGGGAGACCTGGATAGCTGTAAGGACAAGCTACACCGAAGGAGAGTTCCGAGGAGGTGGGAGCTTGTACAGTTCAGAGCATCAATCTAAAATGTATCTGTGGCTGTGGGGTGAAGGACGAGGATTTAGAAGTGGTGAGTTTCCAGACTTAGTGCTCGCACCGCTTGGGTATGTTATGCCCTAGAGCCTCACAGCCAGCGTCCCTTCTGGATGCTTCGAGCAGCCTTAGTAACCATTACACATTTGTAAGGCCACCCCTAGAAAGTAGGCCTTTGGATGACACAGCATTGGAGCCCCTCAGGAAATCTTGATTTGCCTCAGTGACAGAACAAAGCCAGCTGCCTCCTGGTCACAGCTGATTAGATAAGTGATGCATGGCTGAGCCAATCAGATGTTTTTCCTAGGCCTAGAGCATGCTCTGGGGCAGGAACTACCTACCACCCTGTGTGCTGGTGGCCTCTCTTAAGGTAAGGTAAGAAAGCAAGGAAACAAGTGTAACTCCAGAGGAATCCAGCCGCACAGCAACTCGGGTGTTTTGAAATAGATCCCCTTTGTTTTTTGGTTTTGTTTTTGTTTGCAATGATGAGGAATGGAACCCATTACACATACAAGGCAATGGCACTGTACCATCAGAACTGTGTTTGCCTAACTGTGATGGTTAATCTTCTTCATCAGCTTGCCGGGGATTTAGAGTCACCATGCCTCTGGGCATGGGCATGTCCATGAGGGATTTCCTTCCTTCCTTCCTTCCTTTTGAGACAGGGTTTCTCTGTATAACAGCCCTAGAACTTGCTCTGTAGACCAAACTCACAGAGATCTGCCTGCTACACACTCCTGCCATGCCCTCCCCCAAACTGGGAGGCAAAACAACTCCTTAAGTTACTTTTATTAGGTATTTTGTCAAGGCCTCTTCCAATTCATAGTTAAAACATGGTCACAAAAATCAAAGTAGCCTGGCGGTGGTGGCACTGGTGTTCAATCCCAGGCAGAGGCAGGCAGATCTCTGTGAGTTCAAGGCCAGCCTGGTCTACAAGGCGAGTTCCAGAACATCAGGGCTATTACACAGAGAAACTGTCTCAAAAAAACAAAACAAAACAAAACAAAAAAAAAACAGTCCACATGAAGCTTGATTAAAGCCACTTGCGGAGGGAGAGTTTGTTTTTTAGCCCATGGTTTGATGGTACAGCTCATCATGGCAGGGAAAGCATAGCAGCAGGAACAAGAGGCAGCTGGGCACAGTGAAGCACAGTCAAGAGAGAGAAATGCTGATGCTCAGCTTTCTTCCTTTCATGTAGTCCATACAATGGTACCACCCACACGCAGGATGGGTCTTCCCTCCTCAGTTAAACCATTTGGGAAACATCGACAGAGACACACCCAAAGGCGTGTATCCACGGTGATCCTAAATCCTGTTACATTGCTTTAGTTTTGTATTTTGTTGTAACAATAGAAAAAATAACGGTCATCACCACTTTCACCATCATCATTTAAGACCATCATTTTCTCACCACCTGAGGATTAGAGTTGCCATAGGTCCTCAGTACTGATGATAGCCACATTCTGACCTTGCCTGACTTCCCTAGAAGCCACTCTGATTCCATGAGACTTGCTCCCTGCCAAGCTACAACCTCAGTACAGGTACAGAATGAATGGTTGCAGGCTCTGCCCTGCTGTTGCATCATGGTGTCGTCTGCAAGAAACAATGACAAGGAAGCGTGGCTGCGCAGCACTTCATCGGCTTCAAGTTCATTTAATGAAAGAGAATGGCTTCTGCCCAGGTTTGCTGGACAGACAGCCCTGCTTCCTGTTACTGGAATGGCTTCTGTGTCTCACTCACACTACTTCTCTAGGTCAAACGACACGCAGGTGAAGAAGCTGAGACTCCAGGCATGCGTACAGCTGCTGAGCCAGCGAGCTGGACCGTCACTCCCCCTACCTCCAGCTCTCCATCTCCTGCTCCCTTTCACACTCCCAGACACGAAACTGTAACTGATGCTGGAACAACATGAAATCCCTCGGGCCTGCTGAGGGTCTGTGAGTCACCTGCAGCCACGGAGGAGCTTTTTGTGTCTTGGCTTTCAACTCGAGGTTTGTGGCCAAATATAGAGAGGCAGCTTTCACCTTCAATGAAGGCATTTGGGTCTCAGCCAGGATTGATCTGTGCTTGGCTGCCTGTCTACCAGACAACCTTGGAATCCGATATGGATGGGCTAGGGCAGGATTCCTGGAGAAGATGCTACCGCTTGCCACAGGTTGAGTGACACTGGCAGTTTCTCTCTCCAAGGTGGGGAGCTGAGAGCCTCATTTTATCTCAGTGATGACAAAGGTCCTCACACTTGGTTCAGAAAGCATCAGATGGGGAGAGGCTAACTCTGCCTTTAGCCCTCTTAGCTCCTTTCCTGTTGCTGTGATCAAATACCCTGACAAAAGCAACTTCAGAGAGAATTGATTCAGCTCACAACTTCAGATTGCAGTCTGTCATGACAAGGAAGTCACAACAGTGGGGAGCCTGGGAAGGAGCTGGTCACATTACCTCCATAGTCAAGTGCTGAGAGCAAAGAACTAATGCATGCTAATGCTTACCTTGCTTCCTCTATTTCTACAGCCCAGGATTCCTGCCGAGGGAATGATGTTGCCCATAGTGGGCGGGTCTTCCAATTACTTAACGTAATCAAGATTGTTCTTCATAGGCATGCCTAGTGGCCTGCCTCTCAGGTGGTTCTGCATTCTGTCAAGTTGACAAGTAACCACTGCGTTCCTTGTGTGGGCATCTAACATTGCTCTGTTCAATAGAAATGCAGTATGAGCTGTGTGGTTCCAAGTTTTCTACTAATACATTACAAAAAGTAGTAAGAATCAGGTAGCAATAATTTTACCAAAGTTTTGTCTGTTTTTGTATGGGTCTTTTGCCTGCTTGTATGTCTGTGTACCACTTTCGTGCATTTGGGTGCAGGAAATCAAAACTGGGCCCCTGAAAGAGTAACCAGCACTCCTAACCACTGAGCCATCTCTCTAGCACCAGGTTGCAATACTTGTAATAGCCTGGTGGTGGTGGTACACACCTTTAGTCCCAGCAAAGACAGATGGATCTCTGAGTTCCAGGCCAGCCTGGAGTACAGAGTGCTTTCTAGACAGAGAGAAACCCCTTGAAGCCTCCCCCAAAAAAGCAATATGTATAATAATTAAATTGTATCAGTTATGCCCCAACTGTCTCTCAAAATAAATAATTTATTGTTTTGTTTGTTTGAGACATGGTCTCTCTTCATAACCCTGGCTGTCCTGGAACTCACACAGATTGAGCTGCCTGTGTAGACCAGGCTGACCTTGAACTCATACAGATTGAGCTGCCTTTGCCTCCGTCTCCAGAATGCTGGGATTAAAGGTGTACACCACCACTCCCAGCCTCTATATTTTCAAGAGAGGGTCTCACTATGTAGCCTTCGCTGTTCTGGAACTCAATTGTAGTCCAGACTGGCCTCAAATTCACAAGAGATCTGCCTAGCTCTGCCATCCAAGTGCTAAGGTTAAAGGCTTTCCATACCATACCTGAATAATAGATTTTTTTTTTGGTTTTTACGAGACAGGGTTTCTCTGTATTGTTTTGGAGGCTGTTGGTCCAGCCTAGCGAATAATAGATTTTTTAATGAGACATTTGACATTTTCTTTCATGATTGACCACCAAAATCATCTTGAGTATCATCACCATCACTACCATTACCACACTCACCATCAGCACCACTACCATCACCACTGCCATTATCATCCTGGTTGGGTTTATGGCTCCATCTCTATTGGTTGAATAGCCTTAGATAGAATGCTGAACCTCTCAGCATTCAATCCCTCTCTTGTACCTCCTATTTCAAATGGAGCTGCAAAGCTTGATGGAAGTAGGGTTTAATGAGAAACCTAGCCTAGACTCTGTCAGCAGGAAATGACATATGGGTCATAGACAGCAACCCTCCCTGACCACAGCTGAGCTGTAAAAGTCCCATGGGCACAGAATCCCCACTAACTGCACAGTCAGCTAATAGGACCAACTATGACACAAGGCCCTGAAAGCACAGTCCAGTCAATTAGGTGGAGGGTCACACAGTTATGGACTTGGTGCCGCAATTGGATCTCAGGGCTCTGGGTGCAAGTGCCCTTCTTTAGAACAGCTGGTCAGCTGGGCTAAGGTACCCACTGCCTCTTATCTGCCTACTACCCCCAGTGCCCACTGAGGGACACATACTTAGCCACTCTTTCATGGCGAAGGGTCTTTGAATTATTTATGAGAACTCAAGAGAAAATGCCTAGAACTATCTGAATAACTCAATAAAGCCCTGGCAGTGCCTCCAACATTCTCCCAAACTACAGAGTTTCTAAGAGGAAGCCAGGGCCTGATCATGGTGAGACAAACAGGCTCATCCCAAGGTCCCTTCCCCTGCACCCTTCCCAGCAGGCATTTCTGGGCTACCGATGCTTTGCTGCTCCTCTGCCCAAGCCTCCATTGTCGCTGGAGGAAGAGCAGAAGCTCTCGGAGGCCTAGAAGACCTCACAGAGCGCCTCCCTAGAGTACCACTTTGAGTGCCCCTGCAAGCCTAATTGGCCAACTCCTATGTGTCTGCAGCCTCTGGGAGTCTGGCTGTTTAAGGTCTATTACATTATGGAAAGCTCCCATGATTCCCTAGCTCCTAGAACATTCCAGTCTATATGAAGTGCTTAATTTCTTGTTTCTAGCAGGGAGTCTGTATAGATCTGAGACCTGGAGAGGAGCTGAAGTAGTTATCTGGAAAAGTCCACAGCATTTGTATCACAGGTGGATGGCATTTAAGTTAAAGTCACTCAGGAGGCTGAGGCAGGAAGATTGCCTCAAGTGTGAGCTACAGTTTGAGACTCTTATCTCAAAAACAAACAAACAAACAAACAAAAGCTGGGCATTGGTGGTACATGCCTTTAATCCCAGCACTCGGGAGGCAGAGGCAGGTGGATCTCTGAGTTCAAGGCCAGCCTGGTCTACAGAGCACGTTCCAGGACAGCTAGGACTACACAAAAAGCCCTGTCTCAAAAACAAAACAAAACAGAACAAACAGGAAAAAAAAAAAAAAAAACCTGAGGTCAGATGCAGCATTACAGAGCCTGCATGTGAAACTCAACCCCTCTTAGAGAAAGTGCTCACCCACTGGTCTCACCATGTGAAGTATAAGCCAGTGTAGACCTGCCTCGTGGGCAGTGCTGAAGAACAGAACCCACCCACAGTTAGGATTGGTGACAAATGTTTCCTGCCACCGTTACAGGCAAGGCAGCTCTGTCCCTGGCATTTGGGGAAAGAGAACAATTTCTGGGCTGGGCATTTGAGCTTTGAAATCTTGGAGCTGGACCTGTGACCTTTAGCAGCCTTTGATGAAGTCCTGTCTGTGGTAAGGAGGAAGAGACAGACACACTTCAGGGAAAGAGGAAGGTCCCAGGTTCTGGGAGGGACATAAACAGATAGGTGGCAGACTGCGGAAGGAGCCAGTCATAGGCCCCACCCCCAAGAATACATCCTGGTCTTCCAGGCAGTCCATCCCAGACCTGGCATCTTGTAGGGAATTCTCAGCATTCCTGCACCAAGCTGTGCCTGAGAGATTTCTAAGAGGGTATCTACATTTCTCCTTGACTTGGTCCAGCCTTCAGCTGTGCCCCTGCACAGAGGTGAGGAAGGAGTCTGCAGGGGACGTTACCTCTCAGTGACCTGTCTAAAAGGTCAGCTCAGGGCTGAGGTAATGGGTGTTCACTGAGCCAGTCTTTCTTTAGTAGGAAAATCTTCACAGCCAGCAGGAGTGAGGCATGCCGGGTGCTGGCCTGTTGACTGATGGCCCTGTCTCCTGTCCCACCCTCCCACTCCCATAGTACCAAACCCACCATAATTAAAGACCAGCTCAGGGAAGGGCTCAAAGAATCCAGAGGTGAGAGGGAGGTCCTAAGGGGGAGTGAGAGGCCTCAGACAGCTGCAGTGGAGGTTGCTATGTGAGGTGTTGAGCCTGCAGGGACCCTAGCGTTGAAGTCTATTTTTTCTTTTCTTAACAACTGCTGAAGTAGGTGAATGAAAAAGATGAGGTCATGACTGTTCCTACGTATGGTTGGGGAGGTTTATTGTAGAATAAGAGAGAAAACAGCCAGAGGCATCTGCAGGGGTCCAGACTGAACCAGGACAGCAGACTGAACAGGCCATGAGAGGAGAGGGAGCCGGAGTGAAAGAGGTAGAGAAGGAGACCAAGAGAGCGTGTAACCAAAATGGCTGAGGTTGTACGGGGTCAGAAGGCTGGGGAGGTGGTGGAGCCCAGCCCCTAGGAGGGAGATTAGGGTAGGGAGTCAGGTGAGAAGTGCTGAGAGAAGCCACAGGTACTGAGTGAGACTTGTCTTGGGTTTCTCTGACACCTAACCATAGACTGGGTCAGGATAGTGTACATACATACCAATAGAAGTCAGTGCTACACACGTGGCAGGCAGACGCTCTACCACTGAGCCACACCCAAACCAATGGTTGGGGACTCTTGGCCTGGAACACAGGGAAGCAGAGATGGAGCTAAAGGCTCTAGCAAGGATTCTTCTGAGCTTGGTCTTTCAGGGCACAGCAAGTGGCAAGAGGGACCAAGGAGGACCAAGCAGGACAGACAGGGCCTGAGAGGCTGGTCTTGGCTGGCCTATCTCCATGAAAACTGGGCACTCAGTCACACTTAAAGGTACTATAGCCGGGCGTTGGTGGCGCACGCCTTTAATCCCAGCACTCGGGAGGCAGAGGCAGGCGGATCTCTGTGAGTTCGAGGCCAGCCTGGTCTACAAAGTGAGTTCCAGGATAGCCACCAAAGCTAGAGAGAAACCCTGTCTCGAAAAAACAAAAAACAAAAAAAAAACAAAAACAAAAAAAAATAAAGGTACTATAAAGACCTGGCCATACCTCAGGACTTGGGTATTTACTCACAGCTGTCAAATGGCAGAAATGGACATATGTGGGTACTGGTGTGTCCCAGCCATCTTATCCTCCCTGCCAACAAAGAAACTATAGCAGAAAGTAGGTATGGGAGGGGCACAATTAAGGTTGGGGTTGGTATGAACTCACTACTGTCCTTGGATACAAGGTATGCAACTTGCTGGTTGGGGTTGGTAGTTAGCACTTGCTGTGATGTCAAGGGCCCCGATCCTGTGATTCTCTGTGCTGGCCTTGGGCATGCCAAGTCACTGAGATAGCCCAGGAGCTCTCAGATCTACAGTCATCATGATTACACCAGGAGGTAGGGCTATCACAAGGTTCATCCACCTTAGATGTCCAGACATGCTGACCAGGGCAGCTAAGGGGCTCATAAGTCATTCAGAAGAATTAGGAGTTTGGGGATGGCATCCAGGTGACTGTATGACAGAGGGAAACACTCTGGGTGCTCTCTGAGGTGCTACTGTGCAGGTGCCAGTAGTTAAACAGTAAAGATTGGTTAACCTGAGATCATTGTCACCTGTGACATAATCAGCATTTAGGCCCCAGATGCCCAAGTCCTGTCTCTGCTCCTGACCTGGGTGGGCCCTTGGGGCATGAGAGGAGGGCTATCCTCACTGTGGCCAGCATGGGTGTGCTTTCTGCCCCTCCCTGAAAAGCAGGTAACTTTTCTTCCCCAGGGACTGGGAAACACCTAGGACTCTCAGCCTGAAGAAAGCCAGATCACGAAGGGATAAGACAAGCTTCCAGAGTGGGGACCTTCCTTTGTAACCCCTCCTGGAGCTTCCGGGAAAGGAGGAAGGGACTGGATTCTTGAGCAGTTCCACCCCTGCACAGGGCCCCGCCTCCACACGCAGCTGTGGGCGGGGAAAGGCTGAGTGGCAAGAATCACCAAGCTTGCATGCAGGCCTGTGTCTCCCCTCCTGGCTCTGATCAGGTCCTGGAAGAGGCCAAGCTGTGCTTCCCTGCCTCCAAGGGGCAGGATGAGGGAGCCAGACCTGGGGGAAGGGGAGACCAAGGAGCACTTACCAGGACTGGAGAGCAGGTGATAGAGTTAATAGCAGCACTGTTTCTTGCTCACTTTGTTCCAAAGTTGGCTTCAATTGGAAAGCCTGCTCCCTCCCTGAGAGAGCCACTCAGCTACGGTTGCTCCTTAGACATAGTGCAATGGCTCAGGGCCATGGAAGGCTGGACAGAGGTCATCAGTTATAATTCCTCTACGGCCTGTCTAGAAACAACCTCACTGGGACATTTGTGTGGTTCAGTGCAGCTCTGGGCTTGGGTCTGCGCCATCAACCT